CCCCAAAACCCCAAAACCCCAAAGAGCAAGATTTTTGTAAAAATGTAAAATCTTTTAATTCAAACTTTGAAAAAATAAAAATTGAAAGGCTTTTTGAATTTATAATAATCAATCTAAATATTTAAACTAATGCTTAAGGATCCTTAATGAATATACTAAAACTTAATTTAAATTTTGTGAATTATTAAGTTAAAGATTCTCATTGCTTTATAAAAATAATTATTTAATTTTTAAATGTAAGACGTTCAAGTGGATCCTGCAGAGCAATCTGAAGCTTCTACTTATAATGAAGTAAATCAATCATTGATTAAGAATCAAAACGAAATTTACAAAAGTAATTCTCAAAATACTTTTACTCAAAAGAAAGATGTGGCTTTACAAATTGACGACACTCCTCCTTCTATTATTGATTTGATTCCATTCTATTCTCCACTTGGATTACTTTGCCTCATGTATTGTAGTGATATTTACTACTAAAATCCATTCATAATAATATGGGTTGGATTTGTTGCTATCCCAATACTTGATTATATTTTGCCAGTTGATCATTATAATATACCAGAGAATAGACTCAAAGCATTTGAAAGAGATTGGAGGTTTATGGTTCCAGTTTACCTTGCCTGGTTTGCTGATATTGGAATATATTTTAGTATCCTATACTCTGTCAGTATTGGTTAAGTTGCATAAACTCCAGCTTCTTTCATCATATATGCAATTTCATATGCTCAACCTGGAGCAGCAAATGCCATTGTTGGCCATGAATTAATACACAGAAAAGAAAAAATCCATAAAATTTTTGGAACTTTATCATACTCAAAAATGTTATATTCCCATTTTCTGATCTAACATATTGTTTCGCATCACAAAAAAGTTGCAACTCCAGAGGATCCATCTAGCGCTAGAATGAATGAATCGCTATATGAATTTTATTGGAGAGCAATACCAGCTGGATATGTAGAAGTCTGGAATATTGAAAAAATAAGACTTTAAAGAGAAGATTCATCACCATTTAATCCTTTAAAAAATAGGATTCTTCTTTTCAATATTCTGCACATTGTTTATCTTGGACTTATATACATAATACTCGGTCTCCATACTGTTTGCTTTCACTTAGTATATTCTCTAATCGTAACTTTGATGTTTGAGGCGGTAAACTACCTTGAGCATTATGGACTTTAAAGAAAAAAGGATAGTAATGGAAACTATGAGTCTGTTAGCATCAAACACTCATGGAATGCACCTCAAAAGATTACAAATTGGATCACCTTCAAATTACAGAGACATTCAGATCATCATGCTTATGCATATAAACCCTATTAAATTCTTGACAGTTTCCCTGAAAGTCCTATGCTGCCATATGGTTATACAGTTTCTTTGATTTTATCAAACTTTCCATACATTTGGAAAAAGGTTCACAACCCCTTAGCAGATGCCACAAATAATGATACTAAAATCTCAGAAGAGTTAAAAAAAGAGCTTGACAAATGGATTCTTGGTACACTTATTGGTGTTTCAATTATGCTCTCTTATATTACTTTCTTCATGATTGGATTTAAAGAAGCTTGAAAAAATTTATTTTATCTGACCAAACTGCTCATTATTAAGATCTTTCTGCCAAGCTAGAAAATTAAATATCCGCTTTTACATTTTTAGTGATATCATTGATAAAAATTATTACGTCACAATTAATCGAATGAATTTGATCCTTCGGGGTTTTGGGGTTTTGGGGTTTTGGGGTTTTGGGG